TCACTTGAGGAGCTTTGGACTCCTCCTTAAACTAAATGTTGAGACCGATCAAGCTCCGTCAAATGCTTTGACCTCAGTGCTGTTGGCAACAGTGGTCTCTCAGATCATTCTGGCACTTCCAGGGTAGAAGACTTCAGAAGTATCAACTACAGCAACAGCCTTTAATGTAGCTAGAGCTTTCCTGCTGGCCCACGGTCAGGGCAAATCTCTCTCACCTGCCAGTCCCACAGCCACTCAGACCCAACCAAGCAAACACAGAGACTTATATTGCTTACAAACTGTATGGCCGTGGCAGGCTTCTTGCTAACTGTTCTTACAGCTTAAATTAATCCATTTCCATTAATCTATACCTTGCCACATGGCTCGTGGCTTACCAGCATCTTCACATGCTGTTTCTCATCGTGGCGGCTGGCAGTGTTTCTCTGACTCAGCCTTCCACTTCCCAGCTTTATTCTCCTCCTTGTCCCGCCTACACTTCCTGCCTAGCCAATGGCCAATCAGTGTTTTATTTATTGACTAATCAGCAACACATTTGCCATACAGACCATCCCACAGCACTTTAATAGATTCTTTTAACTAGCAGCAATAAAAAAGCATAAAAACCCTGTCTCGAAAAACCAAAAAAAAAAAAAAAAAGCATAAAAATAATGCTACCACTTATTACCAGGCACTGGATTATGGATTTTTTGTTGTTGTTGTTTTTGGTTTTTTTTGTTTTTGTTTTTCAAGACAGGGTTTCTTTCTTTCTTTTTTTTTTTTAAAACCAAGCTGAGGACCGAACCCAGGGCCTCTAGCAAGCACTCTACCACTGAGCTAAATCCCCAACCCCTTGGATTATGGATTTTACTCAAATCTAACCATCAACCCCAAAAGACATACATTCTTATCCCTGTGTTAAAGACACAAGGAACTTGCCAGGGTAACTCTGTGCCAGCAACACAGATGAAAGCTGAATCCAGGTCTGGCTACAAAGTTTATGCTTATTCCAAACGTAAGAATTAAAGACAACAAGAGAACTGATTTTCAGAGGGCACATCAAAGCTACCTAGAAATTTCACTACTTATAAGGAACTTGAAGAGGTTCACTGAATAGATTCTGGAAACAAACAAATTTTATACTGACTATAATTATTCATCTTTAGTATAAGACATGAAAAGTACAGATTATAATTTGATAGTTTCCTAAGCTCCTCACAATAGAGCTATTTTCTTAATTACATAAATATATATCAACATAACTTGTATTCTATGGAAAATAATAGCATAAATTTCAACAAAAAGTGCTTAAATTATAACACTTCTTTATATTATATTTTATGTGCAGAAAATTTATCACTTTGAAATTTAAAAAGATAATTTAATGAGGCTGGAAGATGGCTCAGAGGTTAAGAGCACTGGATGCTCTTCCAGAGGACCAGGATTTGACTCCCAGTATCCACATAGCAGCATACAACCAACTGTAACTCAAGTCCCAGGGGACCCAGCACCCTCTTCTTATCTCTATGGGTATGGCACATGGTGCACACACATATATACAGGCAAAACATCTATGTACATAAGGATAAAATATAAAAATTTAAATAATGTAACTATTTTATAAAGTAGTAAATACATTCTAAATTAATTCCCTTTTTACAGTTCAGGAAAATTAAGCTCAAGGTTAAATGTCATGAACATTGGGCCAGGTGGTGGTGGTGCACGCCTTTAATCCCAGCACTCAGGAGGCAGAGGCAGGCGGATCTCTGTGAGTTCAAGGCCAGCTGGGGCCACAGAGTGAGTTCCAGGAAAGGTACAAAGCTACACAGAGAAACTCTGTCTCAGAAAAAAAAAAAAAAAAAAGAAGTCTAGGTTAATGTCATGAACATTAAATTACATGAACATGACATTAACCTAGACTGATGAAATTCATTTGCATTGAGAGTGATTATAAGGATAATTATGGCACAATAACTCTCCTTAAGTATGGTCCTTTCAATCTACTAGAATAGGCAGAAACAAACCTCTAGGTGCTCTTAACCACTGAGCCACACTGTGGGATGGTCTTTCTATATGCTGTGAATATGTGCTGTTCTCATTGGTTGATAAATAAAGCTATTTGGCCAATGGCAAGGCAGAATAAGGTTAGGCAAGACTATCAAACTGAAGATGGAGATAAAGAAGGGTGGAGTCAGGACAGACGCCAACGGCCACCAAAGGAGCAAGATGCCAGAGCACTGGTAAGCCACGGGCCATGTGGTGATACAAAGATTAATAAAAATGGGTTAACTTAAATGTAAGAGCTAGTTAGTAATGAGCCTGAGCCATCAGCCGAACATTTATAATTAATATAAGCCTCTGAGTGATTATTTGGAAATGGTTATGGGATGGGGCAGGACAGAGAAAAGCCTTTGTTTACATATGGCACCCACAGTCTGGCATGGACCCACATAAGACCTGAGAAAGCTTAAAAAAGGTTCTGAACACAGAGAAACAGAGCCACACTGGGCTTCCTAGTCTCAAAGTCTCATGCCAGCAACAGCGCAGAGCTACATCTCCCAACAAGATGGATCCAGCTACCAACCACCATGAGCTAAGCCATGTAGCAGGTTTCCACAGTCTCTCACAGGGGCCACAGTACAGAGAGGGTTCTCTCAGTCACTGCTTGGGGACTTAAGCATTCAGCACAAGCTCCAGCAGCTCATTGCAGGGCAGGGTAAGGTTTTTGCTCATACAGACAAAGGGTTAAGAAACACAGTAAAAACCAATTCAGCAGAAAGGCTTCTAAACAGGTAATGGGGTGTTTAAAAGATGTGCTGAGGCTTGAGAAAGAAAGGAGAAAATATATATACAGCCTTAAATTAAAATATAGATTTAGAATAGTAAAATAAAGTCCTTAGAAAGGGGAGTAAAGTAATATAAAGAACATAAGCCACATGAGGATGGAAAATGCACAGAAAGTCTGGATTGTGTATATTATTTTTGACTGCTATGAGATATTTGATTATGGAAGCTGCTAGATTAAACAAACCTACATATTTTAAAAATATCTTGACTACAAAATTTAAGTCAAAAGGTCTGGCACTTTGGGGAAGAGGTTATGCTTTTGTTTCCACAGAAGGTGAGAGTCTATGGATTCATTCCGGGTTAGAAGAGATCAGGTTTAATGGAGGAAGACCCCTGAAAATCCTAACTACAGACATGGAAAAATAAACCTAAAGTAACTACAAGACACATGACATATATTTTCCATGCTCAAACATAAAACAAAAATTATCTTTGGCTGACTTGTGTGCAATGCACAGTTTATATTTATTTATATCAGTACCAATATATATGTAAAGGTTGGAAATGGCTACAGGATGGGGAGGGACAGAGAAGAGCCTCCGTTTACAGAGCCATCTCTCAAGCCCATCTCGGAAACTCTTATTTGGAGAAGGGACAATTTTTAAAAGAGATTGTCCTGGCTAACTTTAATTGCCAACTTGGAACAATATAGAAGCACATGGAAAGAGTGTCTCAATAAAGAACTGTTTACTCTGGGTTAGCCTGTGGGCATATCTGTAGCAGATGGTCTTCTTAACTGTGTTAACTGCTATGGAAAGATACCATTCCTTAGGCACAAGGTCCTGAGCTATGAAGGGTAAGAACACAAGCAAACGAGCACACAAGAGCACACATGAGCATACATGCACTTATTTTCCCTGGTCTTGACTGTGGACATGGTGTGATAAGCTGCTCTAAGCTCCTGTCACTGTGACTTACCCACAATGATGGACTATAACCTGGAATTGTGAACTAAAAGAAAACCTTTTTCCCCTAAGTAGCTTTTGCCAGGATATTCCGTCACAGCAACAGAAAGGAGTAGAACACAGACTAATTATGTAAGTTAGCTTTGATACTTCATGAATCAGAACACAGATATGAAAAATTCAGAAGTTGATAAGAAATAAAAAGTTTTTAAAAGATACTATTTTTTAGAAATGTTAAGAACTTTGTTATAAGCCTTTAATGGGGGAACCATAAGCATGAGGCTTACTGTGAAAATATAAGCTTGAAGAAGAAAAAATTAGAAGGGACATTAAGACCAGAACAAATATTCACTGGAACAAAAGCTCTGAATCTACAGACTGGAAGCAAAAAATAAGTTTTAATAGTCTATAACAAGTGAACATTTAGAAAAAAATCTACAAGTCAAACTTGGTGGTGCACACAGGAAGCCCAGCACTCAAGAGAAGACAAAGGGTCACAAGTTCAAGTCCTGCTACAGAGCAGAAATTCTCTCTCAAAACAAAAACCTAGTAGAATTCATTAACTGAGCATCATCTAACTTTTTTGACAAAGTATTTCTTAGTTCTAGTCTATGCAAGACCTCCCTCCTAGTGCTTGAAACAAAGCAACTTAAGAGCTATCTATTTTAAGTAGTACAGTAAGCTGCATTTGTTAATATCTATCTTAAGTAGTACAGTAAGCTGCACTTGTTAAATCTATCTTAAGTAGTACAATAAGCTGCACTTATTAATGTAATTCAGCTACTGCAAACCGATTTTGTCAGCAGTGTGTTCATCCATTTGTTCAATAAATATCTACTAAGCACCAAGTGCAAAGGTTCAGTTTTCCTGGTATAAACATTATGAGCAAAGATGGATGCATGGATGCGTGGATGGATATGGATATGGATAGATTCACAGAGAAATGTGCGGACAGATGAATAGAAGGGCAGACAGAAAGAGAAGAGAAGAGAGAAATGGAATTATTTCTATTATACCAGATAAATGGGTATGATACTAAAGCAGGTACCTCAAGTTTCATTCAGTGCCTGTAACCATTTTTCCAAAATACAAGAATGGACTTTTGATTCTGATTATGATCCATGAACTGCTACTTCCAAAGCCATTCTACCCAGTGGGGGAAAGTCACATCAGCCATTAAAGCACATTTGTCTTATATTTACAATACATATCTGGGAGGAAAGATCAAGTACATAAGAATGAATATATATATATTTTTAGCACTAGACATACCTTTCAGATAAAAAGCTCTTGTGATGATTTACATTCTGACAAGACTCTAAGCTGCCATCAGATGATGAAGAAAGTTGCTCTGACTTCAGGTTGGCTGTATCACTCAAACTGGCCTCAGTTATAGATGGGATCTTTAAGTATTTTCTTCCTAACTCCGTTCGCAGGATATCCGTCAATATAACTCTGGGTATCCTGCCACATAGAATGACAAACACTGTACTGTACTAGAGTTTTCAGGGGGTGGGAGAAGAAGAAAAAGAAAAGAAAAGAAAAAATGTATCCCATGAAGTTGAATTTTCAAACATTGTCACTTCAGTGCAAGTAAGCTCTCTCAGAATTGTAACAGTCAGGAAATCAACACACAGATACTCAAAATTTGGGGTAGATAAAAACATTTTGTTTCTAAAAGTACTGTTTCTTACAAATTATGGGGCAGATTATCAGCATGTGACTATAATATCTTTAACCTTACTAACAGATATTATGGCAGTACTTAAATGTTAACCAATTTTTCTCAAAAAAAAAGCTTTTTTCCTTTTCCAGTATTTATTAAAAATACATATCACCACAAACCAATCCATGAAACTGATGTTTTCTTTTAGCAGAAAGATCCTTGAGAGACACTTGTGATCACCAAATGAAGAATGCTACATCCATTAAGAAAGACAACATTCAGATTACATCCGTGGTAATGCTAGATTCCACAAATGAAACAGTACATACACTGATGGTAACGTTTATGTTAACATTATAATAGCATCAGATGAATAAGCTGATCAGTTAAATGTTTAGAAATGTGTATCTTGAAATATTTAAAGTTCTCTAAATTGGTGGACTCCATAGTAGATATACTGTATGTCTTGCATCTTCATAATCAAAAACCAGAGGCAGAATCTCCTTGGTTACTCAGCTTCCATTGTGAGCAAGTGATGTGTTGCTGCACTACAAAGATTTCCTCAAGACTACCTTTGACTCACATGCACAAGGTCTAGGGTTTGACTCCAGCATGGCAGGAGGAGGAGGAACGACAACATTTGACCCTACTGACTTGTTCAAGGCAACTGTTTGCGTTTGCCAGAGAGAGGAGTCTTTTTTAGGTTTTGTTACTGTGTTTTTAAAATATGTATTTAGTTTATTTTACTTGTGTATGGTGGAAAGCCAGAAAAAGCGTGTGAGCTGCCCTGGAACTAGAGTTACAGATGGTTGTAAGGCACCTGGTATAGGTACTGGGTACCAAACCTGGGTCCTCTGCAAGAGCAGCAAACGTTCTTAACCACTAAGCCCTCTTTCTAGCCCCAGCTACTGCTTTTGTTTTATTTTAAACATGTTCTCATTATGTTGTCCAAGCTGGTCCAATTTGAGGATCAATCCATTTGGCATCAGCCTCTCCAGTAGCAGGATACAGAGTACAGGTGTTCGCTACCAAGCCTGATAGTTATCATTTCTCAAAGCACTCTTGTTTCTCCTTTATTGGATGGCCCACGTCCCCTTAACTATTACAAATATGTAGCTAACACGCTTTGCTGATATTTTATGGAAATAAAGGATATATTTTGACAAGGCTTAAGTACTTTTGCTTAAATAAAAATGTCAACTTCACTGAATCTTGTTAAATATTCAGAAGCATTATCTACTTTCAATATGTTAAGACATTGTGTTCCTTTCACTATATTCCAAACCATATAAGATGCGGGACCTTAAAAGAACTTTAGGACTAGTGAGATGGCCTGACAACCTGAGTTCAATCTCTAGATCTCACATCAAGGTGGAAGGAGAGCATCAAGTCCCAAAAGTTGCTCTCTGACCTCCACAGACATGCTGTAGTACGTGCGTGCTCATATTCTCACATATCACACACACACATACACGTTAATAATAACAAATAAAATCAGCCACAGATACTAACTTTAAATTAGCTTTCTACTTTAAACACTGAGCATCCCAATCTCAGAGTGTTGAGTGATGTGCCCAAGTGTTCTAATGAACTCTTCCCTGAAAGCCTGTTGTCTTTGGGCTTTTGCTTCTTCCATTCCATAAAAGTGGGTTATGGATAACTAAGACCTTCTACAGGCAGGTACTTCAGGAAATCCTTGAATATCTATTTCTAGTAGAACCACCATTAAGAAACAGTTCTACGATGATTAAACAATATCTATGATCTAAACCCAAAGCTGACAGTAAGTACAGCTCCCTTAAATTAGGGTTTAAGATGGATAAAAAAGAATGGAAGCGTACTCCAATTTGGAGGAAGTAACACAGAGGTATTTTTCATTATTGTTGCATCATTTAAACCTCTAAGTATCCCATTAGTATTGTCTTCTTCGTACACTTGATTCCAGAAAGGATTATCCTTTGAAGCACTAGATTGAAAAGAAATGCTAGATTTAAAGTGGTGGGAGCAATGAAGAATCAAAAGAAATCTCAAGATTCTCTTGTTCTGATCTCATACTATGCACTGTTCTAAAACAAAAATCAATTATGACTCTCAACACTTTAAGAAAAATATTGATCTGGGTATAGTGGCACATGCCTTTAATTCCAACACTTGGGGAGCAAAGGCAAAGAGATCTCTGGGAGTTCTTGGCTACCCTAGTCTATACAGTGAGACCCTGTCTCAGGGAAAGAAAAAAAGGAAGGAAGGAAGGAAGGGAGGGAGGGAGGGAGGGAGGGAGGGAGGGAGGAACGAAGGAAGGAAGGAAGGAAGGAAGGAAGGAAGGAAGGAAGGAAGGAAGGAAGGAAGGAAGGAAGGAAAAGTTGGAGTAAGATAGAAATACATTTAGGTTATCATCAGATTTTTCCAAGGAAATGTTTTAGTGCACATAGAATTTTATTTGCTTTTGCTGGGCGGTGGTAGCACATGCCTTTAATCCCAGCACTCCAGAGGCAGAGGCAGGCGGATCTCTGAGGTCAAGGCCAACCTGGTCTACAGAGTGAGTTCCAGGGCAGCCAGGGCTACAATACACTAAACTGACAACTCATTTTGAAAATCAACAAGGTGTTTCCCATTATAGAGAAAGTAAATCCAAGATTTGTGGGCACATAGGAGATATATCAAAGAAATGCCAACTATCATTTTGTATCTGTTTAAATATCTGATGGGAGCATAATTTAAAGATGGCTTCAAGTGTTCAGTACCTGAAATAAGCATTTCTTCCCAAAAATAAAGAGACTGTCTACAAAGAATTCTAGTGCTAAACAATGCTGAAAAGGATAAACTGACCTAAAAAAATCAGCAAGGAAAGAATACTGCTCAGAATTTTCTTTTGAATAATAAATGGTTGTCCAATTCTCTTTAGCTTGGTTGGCACAGCTATTCATGTGCCCTGACCGATCCATCTCAGTTGACCAGTCCACCTCTGTGAGGGAGATCGGTGTGGCAGCCTCAGGAGGGACGCTCATGGAGTGCTGAGGAAAAACCAGATCCACCAAATCAACCCTGGCAAACGATGGGGTAACTGAAGTTGTAGCCAGAGGGCCCTCACATCCCATTCTCATATTATTTGTTATGCTAGTAGAGTTTGAAGAAAGAAAAAAATCAAAAAAGGGGGAACTGAAACTTGGAAAGATAAATAAATGTAAACTGGATACGAAAATTAGTCAAATAACAAACTCAGAATTCTTTCCTAGAACAGAAAAACCAAAACTCAAACAAAAATTACTTTAAAAGATTAGACACTAAGCACTAGAAGCTGCATTCCCTGAGGTGCTATAGACCTTGAAGGTCCCCCAAAGCTGTCAAAGGGCTCAAGACACATCCCAACATGTCCCTAACACTTCGCTTTCAACTAGAAAGCACTCTACTACTATGTGAACAAATGCCACAGAACAAAACGAAAAATGAATAGAACACCAAAGGTTAATGAACTACGAAATATGTAGTAAAGCCCAATTCCTATTTTCCTGCAGAGAAAAATATTGAGATTCTGAAGGGTGAAAGGGTGAAGAAAGGAACCATGGCACAGGAATTATGAGCACAGGCTGCGGATGCTCACAGCAGAGGTCAGGAATCTGATTCCACCACCAAGTAACACTTGTTTTAGGAGAGTTACTTACCAAAATTTCTGTTTCTGATCACCTCATCTCTAACATGGGAAGAGTATCTACCTTAGACAGCAAGAATTAAACAAAATAATAGATTTAAAGTAATTAACACAATTACTAGCATGTATATTCAAAGTAAATGGAAACTTAGTTGAATTTCATATTATTGAAGTCTTGGTCAATGTTAATTTTGAACTATTAGACTCTGCAACCTAGAAAAGTAAGTGTAACTTACACCTAGCAATGATTATAGTCATTTCCTCAGCTCTTCAAAATTCATAGCCATTGTCCAATACCATCTATCACCTATGGATAAAATCCACTTTGGATACCTTGAGAAAAAGGAGCTTTGTGTGATGGCCCTAGAGAAATAGCTCTATAGAGTAAACTAAATTCATAGCAGTTGATCTGTCTTTGGGACTACAACTCTATAAATTAGTACTGTCACTATTATCAAGAGCTACCTTGTATTTCAAGAAGCTCTGAAGTTATACAACCTATCTCAATCTGGAATGAAGGAATGAAAGTTGTCATGTCATATACTATATCCAATTTGTTTTCCTGAGTATGTAAGAACTATGAAACAACTATAAGACTGCACTTCAGAATATAAAAAATATACCAAACCACAGCAGAAACGAATACTGAGAAAGAAGTCAGGAGAAAGTGTATTAAGAAAGCTGTGCTTCTATGGCTCCACTGCAGGCATATCCTCATGACTTAGAGTATGGCTTACATAGAGCAAGGTAACTAAGGGTTTCAAATATTTAACAAATGTAGGGAAGCATTGCATATATTAATATGCAATCATTTCAACAGCCATTTTTAATAAAATAAAGTCTACTGAAAAACAATAATTACACCTGCTAATATAGCTGCAATATAAAAAGTTACATGGCTAATCCAATATCATTTTTCTATAATTTACATTAATTTCTATAATATACATTAATAAAAAGTATAGTATGTGGCATTTTTAACAAGGACATCATAAATCCACTCATCTCTCAGATGACATAATTCGAACTACAGCTTCTAAAGCAGCATCTTAAAGTAAGAATTATTAGTTTTTTTTCTATTTTCTTCTTTCAAAACTTTAAATTATATGTGTATGCACATACCACAGTCCAGGTATGTAGATCAGAGGACTA